TGGTCATGAGGCGTTTAAGCTCAGGGACTGTTAAATCTTCTCTGCCTGCCAATTGCAGCGCACGCAGAGTCCATTTTGAAAAATTTTCCCGGTTAAGGGGTCCAAGCATTTTTGCCATTGCTTGGAGATCAGCTGCTGATACGGGGACGGTTGTAGTAGCTGTGCTAGTCCCTGTGTCTGTGTCTGTTCTTGTTACAGTAATTCTGTTAATGGTGCAACCGGCCCCTGGGGCTCAGGATTGCTGCTCCATAGCTCTCTTTCCCAGCCCTCGCTAGATTCCCTCGGGGCATCTTCCCAGTCAGGGACGTCACTCTGGGGATCAAAGTCCCACTCTCCTGCCCTTACCACTGCTATCTGGCGGTTTGCGAATCCCAGCCTTTGTTTAAGGTGCTGGATAAGGGACTCGCATCGGCTGTGATTAGCGGGGAGAGCTTTACTTCGTTCTATGGTTAACCTCTTTACCATGCCTTGCAATATTTGATTTTCTTTTTCTATTTTTTCCTTTTCCCCGACCTGTTCCTCTAACTTCTTTTCTCTTTGTTTGCCCTCCCTGATTGCCTCCCGGAGAGGGTCTAACTGGCTTTGCACCCCTGTCGCTATCACTTTCCATCTTTCTGCCTCTTTCTCCATAGGAGTGAGTTTTTCAAGCAGGGAGGCAGTCTCCCCTCGGCAGGATGTCAAGCGGGAGTAGAAGTCCCTGCATGCGTCCCACAAAAGCCAGATTGCTGCTGAATCCCTTTTAGTTGGAGTAGGCTTGTACAGGATTATATACCTTGCCAGCCTATCCTCCAAATCTGAAATAGAACACACATCTCCCAGCCCCCCTTCAGTCCACGGGCTGTGTCCAAACCTCTGTAGTACTTGTTTAAAGGGTGTGGGCTCTTGGACAAAAGACAGCGTTCCCTGTTTTTCTCTAAAGATGTCTTTAGACTGTGTCTTCCTAAACATTTTCCCTAACAAGTGTGCCATAGCCAAGTACAACACAGGAAACCGAGCTGATAAATATCAGAATACGATAACCTCCAATTCCTAAAGGAGTGACTTACAAATAGCAATTTTCCCTTTTTAACTCCTGAAGGAACAACTTAACCCTTTCTGGGCCAGAGGAAGAGACACCAAGTCTCCCTCTGTATTACTCTGTCTGCTACCACCGAGGGTTCATACACCAATTATACAAATCCTTCCCCGGATCAGAGTGAGAAACACTAAGTTCTCCTCTTTAGCTCCGCCTTGCTACGGCTGAGGGTGTATGTACCTCTACAACACAATTTAAACCTAAACTCCTATATCCTTCAGAGTTTGGTTAATCCTTCCCCGGATCACAGTGAGAAACACTAAGTTCTCCTCTTTAGCTCAGTCATGAACCCAATTTAAACCTAAACTCCTATATACTTCAGAGTTTGGTTAATTAACTGAAAGTTTACGCTCTTCTTCCTATAGTGCCAGGCTTGCTAAAGCTGGCGGTGTGCACACCAGTTTTATAATAACTGTGGATTCTATGCTTGCTCCCCCTTTCTCATTCTCCACCAATAATGTTGTCCCACAAACTTATACAGGATCGTTTTAGGGGTCAAGGCAAAGATGCCACATTTATTATTAATCTGTAACTATTAGCAAATACCTCAATGCTTATACACATACAGTCACACACACACACACACACACCAAAATGTTCTGCAGCTGCTGGATAGTTACCAGTCCTGAGTGTAGTTTGAGTTCGCAGCTTGGGATCGGAGCTCGTGGCGGTAACTGGCCAGGAGAGCTGAGCACGAGGGGGAGCCGGGTCTCTGTCGGGCGCGCACCGATGCTCCTTGATGTTGATAGCAGAACGTTACCCAAAGTCTCTCATCTCACCCTTCCTTTTTTATAGTAGTTTTTGGATTCAAAGTCCCTAGGTTTCGCTGTGTCACGCCGCCTCATGGTTTGACTTGATCACCCGTCAATTGCAGGCGTGACTGTCAGCCTGGGACCTGGCTTTGATCTTCCTTCTGTTGTTTCTTTTTAAGGTGGATGCTTCTTGCTTGAGTTAGGGCTGTTGTCTAGTTCTTCAGCCGTTGGTATTTGAACTTTATCTCATCAGGACGGGCTGGTGCTGGAGGTTGATTCTATCACCCATACATCCCTCATTCACACACCTCAACTAGACTAATACAATTACAGCAGGGGTTGCAAAAATGAAGGTTGCAGCAAGCCCTTACAAAATGGAGTAAGCGTTTTAAAATGGGGTTTGAATTACAATATGGCACAGAAGTTACAATGTAGCAAAATGGCAAGTGTAATGAAAGTTACAATGTAGTAACAGAAGTTACAATGTAGGCAAAATGGCGAGTGTAATGAAAGTTACAATGTAGCAAAAAGGCGAGTGTAATGAAAGTTACAATGTAGTAACAGAAGTTACAATGGTACAGTGGATAACTTAAAAACAATTTCATTCACATTGGTTCTACATGCTGGGGTATGAAGGTGAGTGGGAGGCCGGAGGCCCCATCAGAACTAGTGCGAGACATGGCTGGTGATGAACTTGGAAGCCTTGCCAACGATGCCAGGTAGCACGAGGGTGGCCACATGGCCCAGCACCCCCAGCGCCGATTGTACCCATGACTGCTTCTGGATCTCCTCAATCTGCTGCTGCAGGCACTGGATCTGGTTCCCCAGGCGTCTGGCCTCCTTCTGGAACCCCTTCTTCAGCAGGGCCTTCTGCTCCTGGGGGGCAGCGAGAGCATGAGGTGGATCCCCAGCCTGCCCCATGGGACAGCCTCCACTCCACGGGACAGTCCCTTCCCCATGTTTGCGGGTATCCCACCCCTTGCCTGCCATTTGACACTGCCCTGTGTGACAAAGTGGGGGATTTTCTTGTTTGTTTTCTTGTTTTCCGTGGAGTTTCAATGGTTTGCATGCGGAGGGGTGGGACTCAGTTTCCCTGGGTGTTACTGGTTTAACGAGGTGATCAGAGAGGGAGTTTGTTGTTACAGAGGACCAGAGAGGGAACGTGGGACCCCAGCCAATGGCCTGGAGGATGGATACCCCAGCGACCGGTGACCTGAGACCCCGACCTGGAGGCCCAGCTCAGGAGATGCAGCCGGTTCTGGCCAGTGGGAGGACAATGGGCTGCAGAGAGAGGACCCAGTGACCGAACCAGCCGATTCCAGCCAGAAGAGAGAAGCAGGAGCGGAGGCCCCGGTTTACGACCCTGTTTACCTGGAGAGAAGACAATGGACAGAGGCGGGGCCTGGGGCCGGGGATCTCAGATGCCCAGTGGGGAAGCAAGGGGGCTCTGGGCTGGAGAGGGGGAGCAGGCAGAGCCCACCTGGATGCAGGGAGACTGGGATGTGCTGGGCTGAGGGAGGCCAGGCCTGAGGCCGGAGAGTTTCCTGTGCTGTGTTCAACTCTCAACAAACCCTCCTGTTTTATGCTGGCTGAGAGTCACTCTGGTCTAGAGAACAGGATGGCATCAACCCCTTCGGGGGCCCACGGCAGAGACAGACGTGCTAAAGCTCAGAGAGGTGTGGCTCCAGGAGGTGGAGGGGCCTGACCCCGAGAGAGAGTGGACCCCCGAGAAGGGCTGTCGCACTGAAGGAGGTTCCCCCACAGACCGCACGGGGCCAAGAGTGGGCACGATCTGTGAGTCCGTGACACCCTGGCTGCCCCATGCATGGGAGTCCCACCCCCGGGCAGGCTGAGGCCGGTGGCAGGGGTGTCCTTCCCTGGGCTGTGCCCATCCATTCCCCCCACGCCAAGCACCCCCCCCTTGTACCATGAGTTTCTGATCCACCATCTTGCCCTGCTCCTCCAGCAGCTTCTTCCTGTCGTCCTCCAGCTTCGTCTCCAGCTGCCGCAGGTTCTCCTCGTAGCTGCGGTCCTGGACCTCCAGCTTCTGCTGCAACTCAGCCTCCTTCTGCTTCAGGACCTGCTGCTCCTGCTCGGCCGCCTCGGCCCGGGCTCGCTCGGCTGGCACGGGGAGAGAGAGGTGGGTCAGCATGGGGAGGGGCTGCAGCCCAGGCACCTTCTCCCCCGCCCCAGTGGCGTGACGTTCCCCCAGTGGTACCTGCCATCTCCTTCTCCTTCTCCGTCAGGGCCTTGTCCGTCTGCAGGATGGACTGGGCCACAGCCTCCTTGGACTGGAGGAACTCCTGCAGCACCTCCTCGGCCTGGGGATGGAGCATAAGAGACACCAGGTCGGGGGGGTGGTTGTCCTGTGGGGCTGGATCCGGGTCGGGATTCTGGACCACGGCACCGGAAAGTAACTGGCTGGTTAGGCAGGCGGGGGCTGGGAGACAGGACTTTTCCCCTCTAGGGGTTGCTGGCCCTGATCCAGTCCCAGGGCAGGGGACTGACTGGCTCAGGGCGGTTTGGAATGGGACATGGGGCCTTTCCCCTCCAGGGGACGCTAGTTCCAGAATTAGCATTTCATTCCCACTCGACACCCTCGGCGCCTGTTCCGGATGAGCTGGGGACTGAACACGTTTTGTAACGGAACAAACAACCTCTTCACACGAGCGCTAACCGGCCCCTGCCAGCAGCCCCAGCAGAGCAGCTGAGGACTGGGTTGGCCACGGGAACCTGGCCTGGGGCAGGTGGACAGCAGGGAGGTCTGTGCGGGTGGGGTAGACGCATTCTGATGCTGCCCCTGATGCTCTCAGCAGGGCTTCCTGGGCTGCAGAATGAGGGGACGCACAGACAGACAGAGCCAGGCTCCAGCCCTCTCCTACCTTTGCCCCCTTCCCCGGCACCTGCCGGTATCTGTCCACCATGCGCTGCCGGTCGTCCAGGAAGCGCTGGTAGCCCCCGGGCACTGAGTAGACCCCCTCGCCGATCCGGTCATCCAGCTCCTGCGACAGCTCCAGCAGGGCGGCCCTGCAGCGGTCCGAGGACGCCACCTCATTGCGCTGGCAGAGCTCCTGTTTCTGCTTCTCCAGGCGGCGCTGCCAGGTTGGGCACAGACAGGGCAGGCGTGAGCCAGGGTGGAGGGGGGGGGGGGGAGTACAGATGGGGCAGGGCCAAATGGGCAGGTGTGTGAGCCAATCCACATGCACTCGAGGCTGGAGATTGGGCTGGGTCCCTTTGGCCTTGCATCTTGGGTCTCTAAGCAGGGGCCGGAGTTGGGCGATACCTGGGGAAGGGGATCAGGGGAGCCCCATCCTCCCCATCCCACAGAGGGGCAGCTATCCCATAACCCCCGGGGCCGGCGCGAGGGGCCGTACCATGAGCTCCCCTTGGAAGCGGCGGTCGTCATCCTTGAAGGCGCGCGCCATGAACGCCCGCAGCGCCTCCTGCTCACACTGGACGTGCAGGTCCAGCAGCTCCTGCACCGTCTCCGTGGGCAGCGCCGCCCGCCACTCCAGCTGCTCCTCGTAGACAGCCACGGCTTCCCCCACCGCCGCCGAGTTCTCGATCTGCGCCAGGGCCAGCACCGCGCTCTCCATGCAGGGCACCGCCCCGCTGCGGATGGCGTCCACGTAGGTCACCGCCAGGTTCCCCAGCACTGCCGGAGGGGCAGGGTCAGCGCCAGGTTCCCCAGCGCGGCCGGAGGGGCATGGTCAGCGCCAGGGGGCCCAGCGCGGCCGGAGGGGCATGGTCAGCGCCAGGTTCCCCAGCGCGGCCGGAGGGGGGCACCATCAGTGCCAGGCTGCCCGATGTGGCCAAAGGGAGGCAGGGTAGCGTCCCCCACCCAGCCCCTCTCACACACTCCAAGACCCTTCCTGCTCCCCTGGACCTGCCCTCCCCTGCAGCACAGACAGCAAGCCTGGGATGAGCCGTTATCCACCCCCGCGATGTGTCCCAGTCCACAGATCCCAGCCAGAAATTCCCCCCCGTCCCCGTCCCCCTGAGCAACTGGTGCCTTGCCTCTCGTTGGGATGTCCCTGGCCTCACCCCCCACCCTGCTCTGCCCTTTGGGACCCAGGCGTCCCTCCCTGGGGAGACGCACCTGCCCTGCCAGCCTGGCCTCTCCCCATCACCTTCCCTGGGACCCGCTAACCGGAACTGCTCTGTCTGGCTCTCACACCCTGTTCTCACCCCACGGGCCATTTCCATTCCTCTGCTCCACCCCTCGATGATTTTCCAGTGCCCCTTCTAACCGCGCACCCCAGAGCTGGGCGCAGGCTCCTGCGTCACTCCCACCAGTGGCGGCCACAGGGGACCCTCTCCCAGCTCGGTTTGTCCCGCCCAGCACCCCATGAGCCCCGTTGGCCCCAGTGTCCAAGGGCTACCAACACTCACTGGCCCCGGTCACCACGTGGCCGCCCAGGAGGGTCTTGGGCTTTGACGTCTCCCAGACGTGGCGGCAGAACTGGGCCACCTGCTCCTGGAACTTGGGCTCCAGCTCATCCTCCCGCAGCTCCTCCAGCCGGGCCAGGTGCTGCCAACCAGCCGGCGGGACGAAGCCGAAGCATTTCCGGGCCGGGAAGAACTGGCGGATGCACTTTCGGGGCAAGTTGTAGTGCTGGTCTTCCTCGCTGCTGCCTGGCAAGAGTGGGGAGCCGGGCACAGCCCTTAGCCAAGATGTGGCTGCTTCTGGGGGGCAGTGCGCGACTGATGAACAGATTCCCATGGGAGGAAGAGAAACTGCTATCCATGCGGGGGTCAGGGGTGAGGTGGATTGAGGGGAGCCAGGGAACCATTCCAGCTGGAACGTGACCAGGACAGTGAAAGTCCCAATTCCCAGGAACTGGTAACACCCGTGAGGTGTCAATGGCTTGGGTTTGTGTCTTGAGCAAAAAGTCACCCCCCGGCAGCACAGCCCTGGGGCCAGCCCTGACAGCCAGGGGAGAGCCCCCACCCCACCCCCTGCAGTAGAGCGCCCCTTAACGCTGCCCTGGAGCACTGGGGCCAGCACCGCTCCCCTACCTGGCTTTAGTTTCAGGGCGTTCTCCAGGTACTCGTCCTCGGTGATCTCCTGCCCATCCTGCAGCAGCTGCAGCGCGAAATCCCGCACAGCCCACACGAAGGCCGGGAAGAACCGCACGAACTCGGCCGAATCCTCCCGCTCCTGCCGGCCACCTCCACATTCCGCCTTCACCTTCACGCCCACTCGGCCGCCCTCACCTGCCGGCTTCACCTTCATGCCCTCACGGTCGCCCTCAGCCACCGGCTTCACCTTGATGAGCTCTGTCAGCTCCGTCACGTAGCTGGGGGCCAGCTAAGGAAGTGGAGATGTGGCACCCCCCGCAGTGGGGTCCCGCTCCCTCAGGGGCCCCGCTACCCACCTGCGATGGGGGCTAGGAAGGGACTGCAGGTAGGGGAGGATATTCCATCACAACACCCGGAAGAAGGGATCAAACCCACCACCCCCAGGGTCCAGAACAGCCACCTGGAGCCCTGCACGTGAAGGAGTGACTCACAGTGGGTTGCTATTCCCCCACTTGGAGTGGGTGGCCACTAGAGGGGGCCGTGGTGCACACCCTGTGCTGCGGGTCACGATTTCGCTGGGGGTGAAGCGTTTGGATGGAACAGTGGGTCCCTTCCCCAGGGAGATGGGCCCCACCCCGGCCCCCGAGGCAAGGATACTGCAGCTGCTCCATGGCCTGCTGGTCGATGGTCCCTTTGCTGTTATAGACCAGGGTGCTGCTGAGAAGCACGGCCAGCGCGAAGATCCACATGTCGTTCTTCGTGTTGCCCTGGAACGACACCCACCGTCACCGTCCCGAGCGCGTCCCAGCCGCAGAGCTCACAGCCCATCACAGAGCACAGTGGGATCACCAGCCCCATGGCACAGATGGGGAAACTGAGGCATGGGATGGGGTGGCCAGTGGAACAGCGCCCAGCTCCCCGAAGTCCCAGCCCATGCCACAATGAATTCCCATTCTCCAACCCAGCAGAGTCACTATTTGGGGTTGGCATATTCCCCTCCCCCAACCTGTTAAATCCCCAGCTCCCGGAGGCAGGGGAGGGGGCGGGAGCTCCCATTGCTCCCCTCTTACTGATGTAAGTTCCTAAGCCACATGGCTGCATTTAAACTTTGGGAAGGCGACACCTCCCCATCCCCCGGGGTCCAGCTGCAGCGGCCCCCACTGCAGGCCGGGGGTTTACAGCTGCTCTCATGCATTTTTCAGGTTCCATCCTCTATTATCCCCAACACCGGCTCTTCCCCTATGGCAGGCGAAGCCAACATAAGGCCAAGGCTCTGGGATCCTTCTCAAAGGATCCATTTTATTGGCCATGTCCGAGCCCCTCTCCAGAGCGAATGTATTTATTATCACACGCCCTATGGCAGACGGAGTGGGGAAACTGAGTCCAAGCTCACACTGGGGATCTGTGGAGCAGGGATTTGAACCCGGCTCTCCGGAATGCCACACCTGCCCTCCATGGCTACAGCGAGTCGGGAAATTGTCACTGAAGAACATCCAATTTTTGATACCAAAACCACTGACGAAACGGGAACAGTTAAGGTGAATTTCCTGACTTGAAAAATTATTGGGAAAAAGAGTTTCTGAATTGTGGAAACGGCCCGACTAGGTTTTTCAGGCAAAAACGACGTCTCGTTGTCAATGTTTTGGTAAACTTTAACCAAATTCAAAAAGAAAAAAAAAGTGGAAAATCAAAATGAAACGTTTGAAAATGATCCATGTTTTTGCGTGTCTGATTTTCAAGCCCTGGCACTTTCCCCCCATTTTGACTTTTCATCACAATTCAGGACAGGAAACATTTTAAACATCTCAACAGTTCTTCCTGGGCAGGAGAAGCGTTCCCAGCCCCACCACGGCACCCCCAGCCCTCCGGACATTGGCAATGCCCCCCTGAGAGGGCGCTAGGTCTGCCTCGGACAGCGCCTCCTTCTCCTGCAGGGGGTTTGCTAGGAGTGTCTGTTAGCAGAGGGGCGGGGAGCTCCTTAAATACCACATCCCCTTTCCCAGCATGCCTTGCCCTGAACTACAAGTCCCAGCAGCCCCTGCGTGCCAAGGGGCATTCCATCCCAGTCTGCAAATTTCTTGATTCTCATATGCTGACACCCCCCACCCCCACTCACCTTCTCCACGTCACCCAGCCCCTCGGTGTCCAGCAGCACCAGGGTGTGGCCGGCCTGGCGGGGGTGGGGCAGGCACCACATCCAGATGCCCTTGGTGTGCGACTGGATGGTGGAGCCCAGCGAGAACCCTGGGGAGAGAGGGGCGGAGCTGGGACAGACGCAGAGCAAGGGAACCCAGGAATCCTGGCTCCCAGCCCCTCCCCCCGCTCTGACCACTAAACCCACCCCCACACACACAGCATCAGGAGAGAACCCAGGAGTCCTGAGTCCCAGGCCCGCCCCCCCCCCCACTCTAACCACTTGACCCCACTCCCCTCCCAGCA